TCGAAGTGTGTAACATGCAAGATGTTTCTTCAACTTTTCTTCTTCGCTGGCCCCCAAATACCGCTGGAGGCCAAGCCAATCGATGTCGTACAAAAAGCTCTCACGTATGTTGTCAGTGCACTTCGGGCTTTTGTGTGTCACCAGTGTCGTGAAACCTAAGTGGTTGTAGATTGTTGCTGAAAATGGATATTGGACTGCTGCCGACTTCACATACATTTGGACTGACCAACAGAGGAAGGAAAGCGCCGGAGTGAGTCCGGATCCCGGATGTCGTGTATGTGGTAGTTGCCGCCGTGGTGGCTGCTCGTTGATTCCGTGAGCTTTGTCAGCGATCGCCTCAGAGTAGCTGTCAGCGGCTAAACGGCTGCGGTCGCTGCTTCACCATGATTATCTTACCTGTTGTATGATGACCTGATCGTGATGACCTGACCTAATTGTATCGTGGTGACGCTTCACTGGGTTCAATGCGACCGATGGGTATGTTGCGCTGGTTCCCAAGGACTGGCGGCACCGCCTTCAGCACAGCTAATATTCTGGAGAGGATGGAGATAGCGGCCTGAGGCCTGAGAAGAAAATTGGTGTTGGTTTCAGCGGACTTTTCATTTTGGTGACCAGCCGAATAACATGCCGCCAACCGCTTCTAGGCCAGCCTCGTAACTCTAAAATGCTGCGACCCAGGCGCGCCACACTCGCTGCTGCAGCAGCGGGGTTGGCGCCTGCCGTGTGACAACCGTGCGAGGGGCGCCCGATAGTCAGGGTGCGATCCGCGGCGTACGGCCGCCGTGGACCTCCGAGAGGAATACGCGCCAACGCCAGATTATGACCTCCGCAGATGTGGGACGCATTAAGCTAGCTGCACTCGACCTGCGGAGACGAGCGGCTCGCTGTTTTGGTCCCGTGTTCGTTCTCGTGGGGATGAGGGACACCGCTTTTTGAGTCCGACCGACATCGCCTGGTGTTTGGGCGAGGGAGAGGGGAGGGGAGGGGGAGGGTCAAACAGTCAATGTCCAGCCCGCCACTACCGAGTTTTGCGGTGACGTGTGTGTCTGGGGCTCCCACTTGCCCGGCCAGCGAGGAACATAAAGGGGTGAAACGATGTCTCTGGCGGAGCTGACCTATGATTGGTCTGTTGTGATGATTTTGGAAGGTTTGGAAATGAATAGCCCAAGGTGGTGCAAAAACTGAGGTATTGCAAAAATGATGGATCTGGGCTGTGAATTAGCGCGCAAGCAACTGCACCTGAGATGTGGGCATGTGCCCTAAGTCATCTGGCACGACGGGGTTTTTCTTCCCAGAAACGTGTGCTTTGCTGTAAAGCACGAAACGCTGGTGGGTTATTCGCCCGTCAACAAACGTTACCGATGATTCCTACGTTTGAGGAACACGTGAAGAAAACCGTAAATATTCAAAAGACGATGTGTCTTGATGGAAACTCGCTTTCATTTTCGGTTGCATTGACTGCTACCTCAACATGTCTTTCGACTGAAATCAAATGACTGGTGTGTGTAACACTTGCACAGACCAAAGCAGAATGAATGCCAAGTGAACGCTGCCTGCGCTACGATATCCCACATATATTTGGGAAATACCTTTCAGCCGGTATGGCTTACGACTTTCTTGAGGGCTTTTCTGGAATCTGCGTAATATTCTCGCTAGATTGCTGTAAACTGATGGTAAGAATAGTGGTAAAAACGTGTTTTTCAGTACATAACAGCTAATCCACAATGAGCTCTGGAGGTTTGGCCCCTCGGTACCCTGCACAAGGTCTTTACGGGGAGAACGCAGAAGACCTATCCCCCAGGAGACCTACGCTCACTGGATCTACGCTCACGAGGCCTACGCTCGCTGGACATACGCTAAGGAAAACCTTCACTCCCTGCACCTTTGCTCACGAGGCTTGCGCTCGCTGGCCTACGCTCAGGAGACCGCGCTCGTTGGACCTACGATCACAAGGCTTACGCTCGCTGGACCTAAGCTCAGGAGACCTACGCTCAGCAGCGTCTTGTTTTCTGGGCATAGGTCTCCTGACGCCCCATCACTCTTGCCTATGTTTTCAATAAATCTCGGTTTTTTGTACACGTTTCGTGAAAATGTAAAGGGTCGCCGATTTTCAGCTGAACATGAATATCGAAGTGTCGATAGTGTAGTGGTTGACGCTTCTCTGCCGTCAACCAACGCAGGCTTGGGAAACCAGGGGTACGAGGTTCGATCACCAGCGGTGCTCGTCCTTCCTGCCAGGGTGAGATGTAGGCAACGCCATATAACCTCAGCAGCTGAGGGCATCGTAGAGTGCCCATGACGAACATGAATATCGGACTGCTGCTACCTTCACATACGTCGTGTCGCTCATTGTCCGCTTGGACGTGCTGCCCATTGTTTTTGTCTATTTTCACTTTGTTTGAGTGTGCTGCCCAAACGAACTACGCTCAGGACTGGAGTAAATGTGATTATTGCAGCACTGTCGCTGGTATAAAACACACAGAGATTCATCATTTGTACAGCCAGTGTTGTTCCGACTAAAAGAAAGTTATCACAGATACATATCATGCCCCCGCACCCTGGTTTGGCTATCTATAATTCTACTCGCGCGTGCCACATTGACGTTACACAAATGATGCACATAAACCTTTCAAGAACTCAGCATGCGTGGCTCGACACTCACAAGCACACAGAAGGAACAAGCACTGTCAGCCCCACGCACAGGTGCGGATCGAGCACGGCGGCCTCGCAGACAGGCAGACCGAGCACGCTGGAATATAGGCAGGTACGGAACGAGCATGGCCGGCCCTGTAGACAGGAACAGATCGAGCACGGCAGAATGTAGATATGGAAGTCTACTGTTCTGGTATCTTGCCTCTGGCTCACTGGTACGCTTCAGCAAGTCCAAAGTCACTTCTGTATTCACACTCGTCACAGGCTGTAACGCTTCGGTCTTGGGAGCAGCGTTCTTCCTTTCACCAACGTCCATCGGAGAACGGGAGTGAAAAGGTAGCTATATTCGGTCCGAGGTCCCCTTCACGAAGTGCAGCGTCACGACACTGGTGGTCGGGTCGCGTTCGCTTCTCTCTGACCGTCACCGCCCGTCTGAAGCATGATGTCTTGCGCATCTAGCGCGAAAAAATCAAGTGCAGTAGACAACAAACTCGCTTGCGCTCACCACCCACCAGCACCACCAGCGGCGGCACGACCACGACGCGTAGAGCATGTTAAAATCGAAGTGCATTGTAATGACGTTGCCGCTTAAGGTTGCCACCTACATCATCACACTTTTATATTTTTTCGCAATCGGCTCAAAGGTCATATATACCTGTCACTAGCAGTTTTTTCGTTATCGGAACGAACACAGTCCGACGTTCTTGCCGTCCTATGGCGATGGCGAATAAGTCCCGTGTGCACGTCTTCACTTTTCAGGCCATTGCATTTCGACAGTTCACCACATAGGCTTTCAAAGAACAGCATTATGTTCACCACAAAATTCCACATCAGTAGCTTGATGATTATAAGCGCCTCCTGCGAACCTATTTTTCGTTATCTGTATGGATATGTTGATGCTCCATTTGTCCCTGATCAGATGCCCCTGATCTATTCAGGTGGCTAATATCACACATCTTAGCCACAATGAATGGCAAGCCTGGAGTATCTTAAGAAGCACCAGCCTCATCCAGTGATGTCATATAGACACACCCATGCTGTGCTCCAAATGCCCTGATCTCCTCATGTATCTGGGCGACTGCTGATGGGCTGAGCTGAACAGCAGCTGGCCTCTTTCTCTTACCACCTAAGCGGGTCAGCTCCATGTCTGATATCTTAGACACAGTTACATTCTTCTGAAAAGAGCTGTTCGACCTGCAGGCCTCACTAGTGCATGATGCCTTGTTAAGCTCTAGCATCACAGCAGCTTGGGCTTTGAAGAGGACAGCTGCAACATGGCTGCAGGTCTCATCCAGCCTGAAAAATAATGGAATACTGTTAAACATTGCCATGATGTTAAACAGCATTAGACAACTATGCCATGTATACCACTGGTCCAGCATTTTATCTTTAATATTGCACATTGTGAAAGGAACAGTTTTCAAAACAAAACAACCAGGAAACATTTTGGCTCAGCATGAGTAACTTGGAATTTTGAGAGCAAGATGAGCCAAGCATAATGTCAGTGGCATTCAGCTTGCACCTTGGCTTGGGCAATGTGAGAAAAAACTGTTTATCATCAAAACATTATGAAATCTTGATAAATGCATATGAAACATGCTTCATTATGGCTTAAACATGCTATCCTATGATCTATGCTATACACATGCTACTTACCCAGCCATACAGGTACAGTGTGCACTAAGAACTTCACCATTCTTCTTGCTTAGTATCCATGCTACATAGGGCTCAGCCTTTTGCCCAACACACTGACTCAGCAGGACTTTTGCCTTCATAAACACAATATTTGGTTTGCCTCAACTGTTTCAATGCCTTGAACAAATCCATTCTCAAAATAGTTGTGGGCTTCCAGGGCCGCAGTAAGCCTTCAAGTCTTGACTTATGTAGAATCCCCGTTCTGAAGGACACAGTACACAATATATCTGGAAAAGTAACGCTGTGCACCGCACTGACTGTCCCTCGACCACTTCTCCGCCGGAATCTGGTAGTATGGATCAGGCAGCCGCGTGCCATCGTGGGTTAACTTTTCTCCATAGCGTGCACAATCCGTAGGATTGATAGGCTCGATCGAATTTCGTTCCCTTTTAGCCATAATTGCAAACACCACAGCATCACCCCCCATACCGCCACAGCTCACGAAAATCAAATGTAAGGACGCTTGCCGCGTCGCCTTCTATCACCCCAGCAGGACCGACAGACGAAAATGAGCACCACTTTTTTCTACATGACGTCACAGGTATTCACTTCTATTGCACTCGGCGCCCAGCAGCCATCTGCCCATTAAAGTCTTGGCTCCAGTGACGTCACTCTAACATCAAATGAAGATAACGCCATAATCCCCGGACGGTTTCGTCTTTCCCATGTGGCCTTGGCAGCGGACCTGGTTGGCAGCGAGGTCCTATAAGGGGGGTGTAGGCGCAGAAAAGGTGAGGTTTGGTGGTGGGTGCTCCGATTTTTCTGCGGTGAAGAATGCTCACGATTCGGCTATGTATTAGGTCTTTAGTCTACGTATTAGGTCATCGTGATGACTATGGGTCATGCGTTCACGACACACACGCGCTTCCCTTCCCGCCCTTTTTTGCTCTGCTACTGCAGTCTACTGATGAGTAAACCAGATGGTGTTGGATTGATGACTAGGCGCACACAATCAAATTACGTAGCTTGTATGGCTCAGTAAAAAGGTAATAAAACGTCTGTAGTGGTATGCTGATGAAAGCAATACCAGAAATATGCAAGTCACACAATAAATTGGAGCTTACTTGTAACCTGATTGATGTGCCATCAATTTCAATAGTGCAGGGCAGTTGCTTGAATCATTGAAATGAGCGCACCAGTAAGGGTTGGCAATATATGAATGCAATATGTACATCAAATTACAAAAAATAGTGATGGAAAATGAGCAGTTTGTCAAGCAAGTACAGTCTTCAAATATCAGTAAGATGAATAACTGGAAGACAAATGAACGTGATAAAGGGTGTAGGTGTACTTTCCTACCTAATGTTAGAAAAAATCATTGCACACCATTCGTCGTGTTTAAGGTGGCACAAATCGTAAATAATGTCAAAACAGGTAGAATCATGCTCCTACCTTCGAATTTCAATAACTTCGATGGCGGGCTCCCGAGCGCCGCGCGCACCGCACCGCCTGGACTCCCCAGCGCCCTTTATGCGTTGCCATTGCGTAAATACAATATTTCTGCTTACCAAGACCTGTACAAAATGTACGGGACCAAGGTAAACCATTCGTTCGTGTTTAAGGCGGAACATATCGTAAATAATTGCAAAACAGATAGAATCATGCTCCTACCCTCGAATTTTAATAAATACGATAGCGAGTTCCCGAGCGCCGCACCGCACTGCACCGCACCGCCTCGACTCCCAAGCGCCCGTTTTCTGCGTTGTTGCGAAAGCACATATTTCTGCTTATCAAGAACCATAAAACATGTATGGGACCAAGGAAACAATAATGAAGCAACCAAAATCGTTTCTTTATCGAGGTTTAGGTACATTTATGAAACACACAGGTCAGAATAGTCCAGAACATATCTAAACCAGCCTAACCTAACCAAACCTAACCTAACCTAACCTAACCTAACCTAGCCTAACCTAGCCTAGCCTAACCTAAACTAACCTAACCTAACCTAACCTAACCTAACCTAACCTAGCCTAGCCTAGCCTAACCTACCTAACCTAACCTCCCCACCCTATATCCCCTTCAACCCAGCATCCCATAGCTAAGCTAAGCTAAGCTAGCCTGACCTGACCTGACTTGACCTGACCTGACCTAACCTAATCTAACCTAACCTAACCTAACCTAACCTAACCTAACCTAACCTAACCTAACCTAACCTAACCTAACCTAACCTAACCTAACCTAATCTAACCTAACCTGAGCTTAGATATAAGCTCATAGACCTTATGAGCTTAGATATAAGCTAATAGACCAGAACCTAAGCTTAGCTAAGCTAACCTACCCTAACCTAACTAACCTATCCTAACCTAACCTAACCTAACCTAACCTAACCTCCCCACCCTATATCCCCTTCAACCCAGCATCCCATTGGCATCCATGTTCCATGCCATATATAGGTGCCATATAGTGAGCTTTTATTTAGCTGTCATGTTCTCATTTTGCTTTACATTCCCCACCCAATCCCCCTGCAACCCGTGGTCCCGTTGGCGTCGAGGATCAAATTTCATGGATTCTTGTCACCTTGGCCCGGTACATTTTTATGGTTCTTGATGCTGCTTGATGCACAGTAATGGTGTGACCCGCGCAGTAATGGCGCCGGTGTCACGGGTGCGTGTGTGGTGCGGCGCTCGGGAGTTCGCCATCGTAATTATAAAAATTGAAGGTAAGATTATGAATCTACCTGTTTTGTGATCATTTACGATATGTCCTGCCTTAAACACGACGAATGGTTTACTTTGGTCCCGTACATTTTGTAGAGTTCTTGGTAAGCAGAAATATTGTATTTACGCAACGGCAACGCAGAAACGGCGCTAAGGAGTCCAGGCGGTGCGGTGCGCGCGGCGCTCGGGGGCCCGCCAGCGAAGTTATTGAAATTCGAAGGTAGGAGCGTGATTCTACCTGTTTTGAGATTATTTACGATATGTCCTGCCTTAAACACGACGAATGGTGTACAATGATTTTTTCTAATGTTAGGTAGAAAAGTACACCCTGGCCGTGATAAAGTGCAATAAGATTCATACCCTGCTGTTGTGCAGCAGTAAGGTTTGCCAGCATCACCTCAAGCTGTATTTTAAACTGTTAATTTAGAGATTGATTAGGTGACTCTTCTGTTTTTGTCAGTTGGTGATCTGTTTCTTAAATAATGATCATAATAATGAACATGATCTCATTGTAAATAATTGTCAATGTGACATTTCTGGGTGCATTTTAAGCTGTTGATTTAATACATGATTTAGTGGCAATTTATCATATCACACATGTTTTATCTCAAATGTGATGATTTATGATGGTTATTTGTTATCAATCTTGCATGATGCAATGCAGCTTACAGGGCCACTTGAACAGTACAGTATTGAAATAACACAAGTAAGATGTAAGTACTATAAGGTGCTTGGAATGAAATAATGTCAGTAATGTTTGGAACTACCTTTTGCAACTTTATATTAATATTTTATCTGATCATCGCAAAGTTCTCGTAACACGTTATTCTCAAACCCAAGATATCACTTGTTAACATGGTGTATCCTTGATGTGATATTGCCTGAAGAGATATTCCTAGATGAGATGATATACCTTTGCAGTTAGAATAAAAGTGTGTAGGTGTAATCCACCTGCATATTCATTTGGAGTGTTTTTTTGTGTACTCTGTTGTAAGTTGTGCATGGGGTCAGGGTCAAGAATAAAACATTTTATCATGTGCAGTTTTTCAATGGTCTGATCTTTTCAGGACACAAGAGCTGAAGCCTGAGCTAAGCCTGAGCTGAGCCAAGCACAAAAAAAGACTAGCAACAGCAAGAAGAAGTTTGAGTCAGCATCATTTTTTCCTGGTGTTCAGGATCAGTTTCATTGGCTTCTGGACATATAACTGCCTCCCAGACTGTCCTTTTTGGCAAGTTATTGCATTGGTTT